AATTTTTCCAACAGTCTAGGTTTGCCATTCTAATGGTCACCCCCAAAAGTCATAAAGTTATCAAGTTTTTGAAGGCCTTTCGTGCCAATAACTATGATTGGGTTGTGATGCTGAGACCCAACTCGAATGCCGAGGTGCTAGAATATGCCCAGTTGGCCAAAGACCTTATCTCGGCTAAGCACCAATGCATTACCCGATTCCGTACCCAACAACAACAACACCAACCTCAACAACCCATAAGAAGATTGCCTGACCCAGTAAGTAGCCACCCTAATAAACGACTCCAAGTTACCCCAACCCCTACTTTAACTCCACCTACTGGACAACCTACCTGACCTTCCTAACCATGCCAGCATTGTGGTTGCTCGTATGGTAATCTACCCTGTTGGCGTAGTAATCACGCCTGCTATCAGTGTGGAAGCACCCAAAACTTTATAAAGGACTACCCTCAGCGATCGAAGGACGTGGCCAGACCTATAACCTAGGGTCATGTGTATCACCTTGATGAACTTGGTGCCCTCCCCACTCCTGTTCTTATCCAAGGTATTCTTTCTATCCATGACACTTCTGTCAGAGCTCTAATCGATAGAGGTGCTACCCACTCTTTTATTTCTTGTACATTTTCTTGTAAATTAGATATTAGACCTGAACCTTTCAGAGAAATATTAGTTGTGGAAACTCCCTCTAGAGAATTATTAGAAGCTCACTGTATACATAAAAATTGTAAAATAAAAGCTTTAGAAATAGAAATATTTATAGATCTAATACTCTTAGATTTCTCAAGGTTCGACATTATTTTAGGAATGGATTGATTAGAAAAATATAGGGAAATTATTAATTATGAGAATAAAGTTGTAACCTTGCGATCCACAAAAATAAAATAAAAATCTACTTTTGTTATTCTCTAACTATTGAATAAACAGGAATATGGATGCTGATCCTACTGTGTATTTCATTCCCACTATTTGTAACTTTTTGGAAGTCTTTCAGGAAGAATTACTTGGTTTACCTCCCCCGCGGAAAATAGATTTTTCTATCGACCTACTTTCTGGAACTCAACCAATCTCAAAACCTACTTATGCATGAGTCACACTAAGCTCGTAGAATTAAAAAACAAGCTTTCTGAACTTATTTGTCAGAAATTCATCCGCCCTAGTCATTCACCTTGGGGCACTTTGGTGCTATTTATGAAAAAGAAAGATGACTCCCTCAAACTATGCATAAACTACTGAGAACTCAATCGGTTAATAATAAAGAGCAAATATCCTCTAACTTGTATCGACAATCTTTTCGACAAGTTACAAAGAGCAACGGTCTTCTCTAAGATTGACCTCAGATTGGGATACTACGAATTGAGAGTCAAAGAAGAAAATATTCCGAAGACTACCTTCTAATGTCGTTATGGCCTTTACGAGTTCAAAGTTATGTCGTTCAGGTTAACTAATGCCCCTGCTGCTTTCATGGATCTTATGAACAAGGTTTTGGCATGCACTGGATCAATACATCATCATATTTATTGATGACATCCTAATGTACTCTAAGAGCCCAAAAGAACATGCAGTCCACCTATTTCAGGTACTGGGGACACTTTGTCAAAATCAGTTATTTGCTAAGCTCAACAAATACTCTTTTTAGTTGGATCGAGTCTCATTTCTTTGTCATCTAATTTTGAGTGAAGGAGTTTTTATGGATTCAGCCAAGGTTGAAACAGTGATCAATTCGAACATGCCCACTAACATAACTGAGGTACGTAGTTTTCTTGGCTTGACAGGTTACTACCAATAATTCATCGATTGATTCTCTAAGATTGCTACTCCGTTAACATGTCTCACTAGAAATAGCATACCTTTTGTTTGTGATTATGAATATGGTGAATGCTTTATGGAATTAAAGTATCCTCTTACCTCTGCTTCGATGTTAAACCTCCCCGACAACACTGGAAGATTCAGGTTTACTGTGATGTATCTCATATTGGTTTGTGATGCATTTTAATGCAGCATTGTAGAGTGGTCGCTTATGGATCCAAACAGTTGAACCATGAGCATAACTACCCTACTCACAATCTGGAATTAGCGGCCGTGATCTTTGTCTTGAAGATATGGCGTCATTACCTGTTTGG